CTGGAGAGCCTTTGATGTAAAACTTCCTTAAAGATTTCTGAACAGTGGAAAACTCGGTTGGGTTTAATGTTTGCTTTTCTCCCTCTTAACCTGGAAATGGCAAATTCCGAAGTGCAGTGCTCTGTTTCCCTTCTTACCACGCCTGCTGATGAATGTGCAAGCAAATGGGCAATTCTGAATGCCTGCTACCTTCCTGCCACTTCTGGCTTCTATGCTTCTTCARAACTGCTTACTAATCCTTCTTTTCCAACAATCCTTGCTTCTCTATGCTGTATAATCTGACAGGACTGTGGTATATCCACAGCAGGCGAGTACTCTTGCTTTGGAGTCCTGCTTTGCTGGCTTTCTTCTTCTCCTTACTGTGATCTTCCTCTTGCTCTTGAATCCCTTCATCATTCTTTCCTTTATGTGAAGATTATTTGCCTACAATTGCACCTTGGGAGGGAGAARCACATTTTGGTTGGCTTAAAACTTGGTTGGTTAAAAGGCTGTAGTTCCAAACAAGTCGTCTTCACCTAGTGTCCCATCATTTTCCAGGACAATCTGCGTAAAAAGGATGATCGGATTGAAGAATTGGAAGAGGCTCTCAGAGAAAGTGTTCAGATAACTGCAGAGCGGGAAATGGTGCTAGCACAAGAGGAGTCAGCCAGGATCAATGCTGAGAAACAGGTCTGCAATCTTGTAAAGTCACTGGTAGTCCTCTTAGGAAAGTAACCAGWCAGTAAAATACTATTTTCTCTGCTTTCCTGTGTGAAACACAGCTGGTTTTCTTTGATGATCCTTTACCTCTGTTCCAGCATTCGGTAACARAGCTCATAAAATCTGCAAAGCCTTCATGATAAGTTGTATTTCATAGGTAAGATTTTCTTGAAATTGAAATCAAAATATAAGGTATCCTGAGCTTTTAAAATATTGTTTTAAGTAGTAACTCTTCCGATCTGTCTTCCTGTGTGTAAGGCATACTTAGATTTACTGTMTTGTTCATTGAATGTATTTCAAAGACAGTGATTTTTATCAGCTTAGTGGTGTTTATGMACCACAATATCCTTGCACTTGCAAAACAGATGGACAAAAAGACAAATCCCTTGGCTTGACTCATGTATGCACACAGAAAATACACACTTGCGTRTACTGAAGCCACAAGTAGAAACTGTTATGCATTAATTAATTTTGTGCCACTGATGAGGTAACTGAAGAATCATGGACGTGCCTGATTTTAACTCAGGTAAGTAATCATCAAGAAAGCATACCAGAAGTTATGAATAAATCCGTAAGATTTTGATTATGCTTGTGAAGCAGAGGCTGAAGCTGTCACTGTGTATTTTGTGAGGTTCAGTGTTTTTCACTGCTCCTTGACAATAATTAGCAAATAGGAACATTTGGTTAGTTGCACTKCAATGGAGGAATCTCCTTGTCTTTGTTGTTTACTTAACACTTCCGAGTAAGTTCACTTTAAAACATTTTAAGAGGCTTTTTTTAACATGTATTCTTGTATCACAGGCTTTAACTAAAAAGAAGATACAAGTAYCTTAGTAATAATCCAAATTTTCAGGAAGAAATCAACTGTTTCTCTTTAGACTAGAGTCAAGCTCAGCTGTTTGCTGATGAATGTATTGAAGGTAATTCTGGTTGCTGTATTTTCAAATCCTAGGCAGTACGATGGAATTCACTTGCAAGAATGCCTTTCTTCCAAACTTCTAGTAACCTTCAAAAAARTTGCACAAAACAGAAATGTTAGTGAACGCCACTTCAAAGATTAGATTTCCTTGAAAGGAAATTTTTAATCTGACAAAGAATTGGCTCTATGATGAGGCACAAAAGTAATCAAACTAGTATGTGATTTGATGCCTAGGAAGTCATAATGTTTCAATTGATTAGACAGAAGACAAAGTGAGCTGGTTTTAATGTTGTTGAGCACCTAGAAGCTGGTGCTCAAAGAATATTATGAAATATATAAATATAAAAATATATTTGTSTATTAATATATACATATATATTATACATGTATATTAAAATTGATAGTTGGAGTTGTGTTTATATAAATTTTATAGAATTTTGAAACACAAACACACATATTTCAGAGTTTTAAAATTCRGGACTATGTTCTATGTACTATCAATGGCAAATCCTTTGACTTTCATAAACCGTGTMATAGGTTATGAATATTCTTAGAACAAGTGTGAGCGATATGTGTGATGTTTAAAATGTTGATGTTGTTCAAACTGATTATAATTTGCTTTTAATTGCATGCTTTTTCTTTCTTCTTTTTTGTTTATCTTGTTTTCTACCATTCTGCCACTTCACTGCCTGTCTGAAGCTTTTTAATGAATCAGTGCATGAGGTCAACCATTTTGGCTTTAGGTGGTTCAAGGTATGAGGACATCTCATTTGTGCGTGCCTCTGCCCCAATATTTAGTGTTGTTATTGTGGCCTCGTGTTGTGTAATCCTATCCTCCATCATCTCATGATGTGTGGTGTTGTGCTATTTTATAGGCTTCAGATTTGAATTACAGTRTCCATGAAGCCACCCTGGATTTCATGGTTTTCAGATATCCCTTGTWGATGAAAATCTTGCTCTCTTTAATCCACTGTTTAAAAATATCCTGTCAGTGTGTATTAACTGTGACAGTGGGTTAACTGTGTTAATACACAATTTATGTATGCAAGAGGTCTCCTGCTGACTAAAGCTTTCTGTTTATTTCAGGATTTTAGACCTGCTCTTTCTTTTATCTTTCCCAAAATAAATTCAGTTATTTCCTGCTGGGAGCAGTGCATCCATTGATTTGGGCATAGTTTTATTATCCCTACTGATCTGTATGGTAGAAGCCTGCAGTACAGAAAGCAGATCAGGCAGTCTTGCATAGATGGAAAGGATTGAAAGTTCTTCAAGCCTTTCTTTTTAACAATAGTTACCTGGTTTTGATGGTGCACCTGCTGAATCCTGTGTGCAAATACTGTTGTGAATTCCTTATAGCTGTGGGGTCATGTAGCAATGTGGTTGGTGCCACTAGTTCAGCCCTCTGTGTGGAAGATCAGGTGTATGGAGACTTCTTTGTARGTACTCCCCATAAGGCTGAAGATAGGATTTCTCATATAAGCACTTCTGTCATAAAGGGTTTTTCATTAGAGATGGCAGAACCAAATGTGGATTCGAACTCTATTTCTGCATTAACCAAATCTGAGTTTATTAGAAAAGCTATCATTATGTCCCTAGGTGGGGGAAATAAATTTTTTTCCTGCTCAGAAATACAGCARTAGTTTTGCTCCCTAGGAAAAATTGTTGGAGGTCTTCTTTGACAAGAGGCTTTTTCACAAGCTCTTTCACTGTCCTAGTGCACCTTACCATTGCTTCTCCTGCAGCAGGAAGTGGGAGTTTAGCCTTTATATGAATTGAGTCATAATCASAACTGTTCCCAGGACAATGCTGGAAATGTGTTTTGATCTTCTTGAAAGAATGAGACCCTTCTTGTGAAATTAAGGGAAAGGCAAGTTCCAGTTCTGTGACTCAGTGGTGACCAATAATGGGTGATAAGTTCTTGTCTCAAGGAGCACAATATTAGGATTACTGGCATTTTGACCCTTCCTTAATGGAGGGCGTAGTTCRCAAATGTTTTCTGACCTAAGATACTCCATGCCCTCCCTCTGCTCGCTCACTTTCATCCCCATACTTGAGTGCACATCCCTTCTGTTTTCCCAGCTGAGGTCATTCTGGGGCTGTGTTGTGAAATGGAGCAGTGACCTAATTCATGGTAACAACTGCCTTGCTTTTTGAAGGGATTTTTTCATGAGAAGCACTTTACTGACCTGGTTCATGAGTCCCCATGCAGAGCTTGAGGGATGTCTGAGGAAGCTTTGACCTGTGGGGGCAGGATTGAGAAGTGGAGGCAGGAATTGCTTAGTATTACTGCTAAAAATATTTTTGCCGGAAAGTTATTGCAGCCTCTGCAATGGGCTACAATTTCTTGGAGTGAGATGGTGCACTGCCTGATCATGACATACATTTCTCTAGCTGATTTTATTTCCTTCAGATTTGAAAAGCAGAAGATTTTAGAAATTAAAATAACATTTCTGCTGATGGTCATACAGCTCTGTTCTYTCATGAATATCAGCCCCTGCTTAAATGCACTCTCTTTATAGTATCAGCTAACATGTAACTCCTTACCTTAAAATGTAATGGCAAATAAACACATAAAATAGTGGCCATTACCTCTTCATTCCTTCCTTCCTTAAGTAGCTACTTAAACTGAAATTTTTGRCTTGGCAGTGTGATCTTGACACCTTCCGTCAACTTTTTTTGAACTTATAGTTCTCAGTGGGACATTTTAAATGTGSTTAAGTAYGTAGACCTATAAATAGCTGTATCTRTGTTCCTACACTGTGTCTTTTTATCCTTTACAGGGCAGATTTTTCTGCTTTGCTTTTTTGAGGAAAAGACTGAATATTGTAAAAGTAGTATTGTTCAAATGTATTTCCTTATGCTCATTTCTTTCTTCTACTGTCTCTATAAATTATTTCAGCAGGATTTAATATTATTTCAGGTACACCTTACATGTAAAATATGTTGCTAACAAGACTTCTGAACTTGTCTATCACRTATGCCTGCTTTAAAATTTGTATCYGTTTATTAAGGAAAAATAAATMCAGAATAGGTTAATAACTCAACCAGAAACTCTTTTCAGAGTTCTCTCCTGTTTCCCTCTGTAAATACAAGGTCTGCAGAGGCTTGAATATAGAGTACAGTCTGCAAGAGCCTTTTCTTATTGGTGAGTTACTGTACAGAAATTCTCAYCAAGTTTTGAATGGTACTTGTTATTTGCACTTCCATCAAAACACCATTSTGGTTTTGTTTTAATATTSTAGCATATATTACTTAGATTGCAGKTCCTTCTAAGAATAGAACAGAAACTACATTTACAAGAGATTTATCYAACATTGGACCCTATCCTATCAAGTACCTTCTAAAAATTCAAAACAAATTAAAACACGTAACTTTTTTGCTGAACATTCTGTTACTGAAATAATCTGAAATATTTTCTCACATATTTAGAGCGCTGGAATAATTTCACAGCACAAATTCTGACACACTAAGTTACTTCCTGCAGGTCTCTGTAAATGAAAAATATAAAGTGGAATTTCTCATGAACCTATAGATGTTTTCTGAGCACCATAAAAATGTGAGAATTCTGACTGCTCTGTAACACTAGCTGGACAGTTTGCTTTTAATGAATGTTTTTGGTCTCTTCTTCTGTATCTGCTAATGAGAAATTTGATAAACTAAGAGACTGGAGATCAAGGCAGTAATCCAAGCTATGGCTTGAGGGTAAAGGTACTGAAGCCTCAGTGCTTCCCACTGATTTTTCCGAGGAGTTAACATTTCTTTGGCTGAACTTCTCTTGAATATCTTCTGAAAAGCTTGTTTCTGTAAAAGTCAGCCAAAATAATTTTGGCTTTTGAGTGTGTGTATATATGTAYATGTGCAAAGTAATTTGTGTCCTTAGTTCATATTAAGTAAAATTCTGTGCTAAAAACTTATATTTTTATTTGTTTTACGATACAAATTTTAAGAGCTTTTTAAATCAAGTGTCAGCCCAAGGTATAATTATACCATTGTTTTCCAAGAGATTTACTTTTTTCTCTTCTTCTGTCTGATTGTTCTGCTTTGTTGAGAG